ATATATCGGTTGTCAACTTATATATAGTACTTTTACTAGCGTCCCACTAAAGCAGCACTTGGGGGTCTGTCTGGCGACGGTCTGGGAAATATGTCCCTGAGGATGATTTAAAGACATGCATAACAATTTTAATCTTCTGCAAAAGGGATCTTATTTGTGAGGCTACTTCCTTAATATAGTCATAGGGGAAGAAAATTTTCTTCAGAACTGTGAACCCATGGTACTGCTCGGAGATCGACTGCAGGACTTTTGATTCCACAGATTTTAAGAGCACGTATGTACTCGGTTAGTCTCAGCTAGAACATACGGATCGGTGTCCAATTCTCTAACTAGAATCAGACTTCGAGAAAAACTATCATATATGCATTAATTAAGTAAAATGATGAAAACTTAAAAAATACCAATAATTTCATTAAAAATTTGTGATCACTTTTTAAATTTTCATGATTGAGGCCACCCTGTACATTGTCGACAACTTTCTAAGCTTTTTGGAAAAATTTCTTCGAATAGAAGCTAATTTTATTTTTTAATGTATTATTCTTTGTTTTGTAAACTAGATTTAAAATTATTTTCCTGATGACTAAAAGAAAATGATTCAAATGTTTCATGAAACGCCACTTTGTAATGTCAATATCAGCAAGCCTGCTTAGTGAAACCAAGCAAATTTTAAGATAGATAGATTTTTGGTCTTTAGTGGCGCCATCTATAGTCAAAAATACGACTTCAATCACACATACCTTACAATCCGTTTTATAGAGCGGGCCCATTCATGCATCCATTCATTCATCCACTGATCGTAATTTAGACCTAAACCAGAGAACGATCAATATCCAATTCAGTACCACAAGAGGTATAATTTATTATGAGAACATAGCGGAATTTGTGACCTGACCGATTTAGCAGGCACCAGTCACCATTTATAACACGAGGAGTCTTCGGCAGGTGGGAATAGAACTTACTACCTCTACCATCTCTTTGTTTGTGAGGCTTTTAAAATGTTGGCAAAATTACCGAATACTCCGAAAGTTTCAGCTTTAAATTCTCGGCCACTCTGAAAAAAAGCGTAGTAGTTGGCATCCTTGGTCTGTACTTAAAATTTAATAGAATTGGTTTGCTGCAACACCTTTATAGCCCCTCTCAAATCACAAAAATATTACTAGCAGCAACTATGGATTTTCGACACTTAATATGACATTCTATTTGCCAGGATGGCAATTGCTCTGATGTATGCTGCAAAGTATGTTAAAATAGTACAGAATTAAAAACGAAAGCGTGTTCGAACTCAAACAGAAATATTAATAAAAATCTTTGGTATTTAGAAAGAAAAGATAATTTTTTAGAATGTCAAAAATCGTCATGAAATGAAAAAATAATTGTGCAATATTTTTCATTTTTTTGTGTTTGGTTTTAAGAGAAAAGTGACTTTTTGTACTCCAGATAGCAAGAAAGTGAATTAATTCCCCCTTCACCTCCTCTGCAATTCTCTTTTATTTTAACGTCGCTATAGTAACCGATTAAAAATTGTGCAATTTTACAAGAAATAAAGAAACACAGTGAAATTATTTCCCAACTTTTGCTATTTTAAAGTGCATGGGAATTTTTTTTCGGTATTAGTTTTTCAATAAATTCACTATTTAATATTGCATTTATTTTATATTTGTAAGGTAAAGAACATATTTTAATTTGAAATTAAGAACTGCTTTTTGCATTTTTATGATTTTCTTTATAACATTTAAGAATTTTTTATAATCTCTGAAAGTTTTGTACAATTCCCTCTAGTAACTTGCTACTAAACTCTATGTGTGACTTTCAATCAGAAAAATATATATATATTTAAATATTTTTCCAACCAGTACAAGTAAACAATTCAATATTTCATATAAAATACTTAAATTATCGATTAGTATTCGCATGCTACTGGAAATGCAAAAAGTACAGACTAATAATATTCAAAATTACATCAAAAGAAATTAAAATTATCAAATTTTTCTAGCTAATTGTTTTTTCACTCTACAGTTGAAATGTAAAAAGTGTTTTTGTTTTAAATAAGAATAATTTGAAATGTAAGTCAGAGTGGTAGTTAAGATTGAATAATTAAAAGGATTATGAATAAATAAAAGTGAAAGGAGTTTCAACAACTCGCCTGTAACAATATATCGGTTGTCAACTTTCTACACTTTTTGGAAAAGTAAGTAAGATATTATTGTTTATTTTGAATATAATTTAAAGTTATTTTCTAGACGTTTAAAAAGTTTATATGAAACGCCATTTTTTCCAGCCCTCTCGTGATGCTTTTGAAATGTTGGCAAAATTACCAAACATTCTGAAATCTCTAGTCTTTGATTGCTTACTTTCCGAAGAAATATTTTACGAAACGCGTACTAATTGGCAATTCTCAGTACTCAATTTTATTTAGGTGAAAAAATTCATATTTAGATGAAAAAGTTTATATGAGACGCCATTTTTTTCCGACTTATTTCTGGTGAAGCTTTAGAAATGATAGCAAAATTATCAAAAAACTGGTTCTGCTTGGTTTTTGATTGTCTACCTAGCTAAAAAATATTTTGCAAAACGCGTTGTAGTTCGAAATTCCGAGTACCCAATTTTATTTTGGTGAGAGAATTTTTGGTAAAATCAATCGAAATTCTGTAAGCTTTTTTTTTTGATTCACTACCACTTCATAAAATCTTTTGACTAAAATGAAGTAAATAGAATCCTTATAATTCCTGAAATATAAATTTTTAATTAAATAAGAGAAAAAAATTCAATCGCTTATATGTAACAGAAAATGGGGGTTTTGAAAACCTGTTTTACCCATGACCAAACTTAAAAATTTCTATTTAAAGCTCTCAGTTTCATAAATTAATAATAACTTTCTAATTTTTCACTTACTCTTGAGAAATTTGTACTCTAATAAAGCATTCAGCAAATTGATAGTTTTATAAATTTTTTCTAACTTTAAATCATTTATGTTTACTTATGTTCCATTATTTTTTAATTTATGAACTTGCGCCATCATATATTTCTACCTTAATTAGAATCATTGCGTGTACTTTTGGTTATGAGCCAAATGAGGTTTAAACTATACTTATCTCGTATTCACATTGTCAGTCAACAATATCTTTTTCAGTATTGCGTGTGCGCGAATTATTTTTCTTAACCAGAATCTTTAATTAAAAGTAGTTATTCCTAGAAAAGAATATTTTTAGAATTTTTGTAAGTTTAATGTGATTTATTACCGAACCCCTACAATCTAAAATTACGAAATCACTTACAATTACACAAGAACATTAACAGGTACGAGCTACATCACAAATATTTAGATATATTAAGGGGAAAACCATAGTAATTACCGGGCTTTCAGTGATCCAATAAAATAATTAAATATGAAATCTACAGGGATTTCATAACCGTCGTTGAACAGCCAATCCAATTTTTAGGTTTACGACTACAAATGTTCAACTCCGTAGTCTTATAATTTTGAACCCAATGCAGAAGATAAGGGAACTACTGGGTCAAATATTGGAAGGAGTTTTGCCTTCGTGGAGGACTTTTTTAATTTGCGTTACATGGAGAGGAGGACCACGAGAACCTCCCACTGTTAGCCTGACGGCAACGGTACTCTAACCCATGATCTGTCTACCACTGAGGATATTTCTCATCAGCACTGTGGTTGGTGCAAGCCGGATGCGGATTCGTATCGACCAATCATTGGAGGGATTTGAACCTATTCACCTCTTTTGAAGGCAAACTCTCTATCACCTGAGCCATCGCGGCGCAATTTGCAGGTATTTAACAAAACCATACTAGTTGTATGTAAACACAATATTGTTTTTAGCAACAGATTAATTCAAAAATTTTGCATGACGGAACTGTTGGCGCAATTTTAAAGAACAAGCTTGAAGTTTTTTAAAAAAATTGATCCTTATTACTCATGCAAAATTTGCAACCACCAAAATAAGAGTAGGGAGTTAAAAAATTTTTCCTTCCCTTTTTCAATACCACTCTGATTAAAAAAATTATTCTACTACAAACATTTCCATCATAAAAAGTTATTTCGAAAATTGCTGGCGTTAAAGCTAGATATAAGTTGTTGACTTACTCTCCTCATTTGGGTGGATTCAAAGTTTGCATGGAAAAAAAATGACGTGATTTCCAATGCTCTCAATTTTCTACGCTATTTGTAAACATTTATTCTAGTGGTACCTTTGTTAAAATATTGACGTATTATTTTCTATTGATTTGAATTTATTATTCAAACCACTACGTATAAATGTTTTAAAAACTCATCTAC